AWWAWWAWWAAAARAAAAAAGAAATAGCAATTTAGACTTATTCAATATATAATTCAAGACATTTATAGCAAAGCTGTTATACTAGGAGAAAAATGAAATTACGCCAAGAAAAAGGCTGAAAATCAGCTGTAGCAAGAAATCATCCAAATTCATAAGGAACCATAATTTTGAAACTAAGGCTTTAAGTGTGATATGTTGTATGATTTCTTAGCTCATATATACTGAACATTTTCTATTTTTCAATAGATCATCARGAACTAAGGTTTATATGACTTTTTCAAATATTCTGTGAATTCCTTGTCACTGTTAAGCTGTTGTTAKTTCTTGGAGCCAATAGAAAATGTATGTGTACTCTCACATTCTTTTCATTAGCAGATACAGAGTAGMGGTGACATGGAAGAGGCAAGAATAATAGATATGGATTGAGCACTTTAATAGATAAAAGTGATTTTCTGTGATAGAGCTAGTACCAGATTATAAAAAAGGAAAAAATCTATTATGGTTTGAGTATGTTTCACTCAGCTATGTTCTGTCAACCAGTTCATTGATAAGTTTTCGTTAATTTATGATCTTTCCACATTATTCTGAAAATTACAGTGGATTTTCATTCAGCTTCATAGATGTGCTAAGGACTTTACAGTACAAAAGCTAAACAAATTCTCCTTCTATTAGTGGCATAGATTCCCATTTTTCACAGATCAGCTGATGAAATAAGGTAAAAAGAATGGGATATAAAGTACAGTATAAGGGAAAACAGTCATATAAAAACAGTCTGATTTCTAGACACCTTAGAATTCTGAGCAGTTCCATTTCTTATATCATTCTGTATCCATTGCTCTTGAATCAAGAAATACAATTTGCATATCATATATGAGGTAAACTTTTAAATCCATAAGTGAGATGTTTTTGAGACAAATATTTGGGCCAAACAATGATAGTACCTATTGGTAACTGTCAGTTGTTCATTTGTGGAGACCATGAAGGGTYGCAGTAAATCTTAAGCAATGACACATGCTCAACATTTGCCTTTTGTGTTACTGGAGTGCAAAAAATCTGTCCTGGTCTCTGTTGCTAGCTCGTCTACCATTGGATTTCAGATTTAGAGCTAAGTCTTTTTCTTGCTTTGTTAGGAACAGAGTTGGCTGAGTGGGAGTAGAGTCTGCCCTCTCTTGCCTCCTTGTGATACTGCAAGACATCTGGGAGGGAGCAGTATTGAATCACACCAACTGTATTACCCCAGACTGTAAACTGAAGAAATACTTCATTTTTCATTGAACAGTTCCAGATAGTTACTCTGTCTATGGGAAAGAATAACAGTGTTCAGGAATATTCTCCTTTTAAATGTTCTCAATCAGCAGAATTTTTCAGGCAAGACACAAGTCAGTAAAGAGTCTAGAAACATATTTATTTACCAGCCTACAGGCATCTTACTTGCTCAGAGCAGAGAATGCCTGACTGAAAACACTGGTATTTGGAATTGGCTATGCTTCTTCACATTTCRTTTCTTTTACTTGAAAATTATGTGCCCTACATTACTAGCAATTGGCAAGCATCACTATCATGCATACTTCAATTGACCTGAAAATTATATATTTGCTAATAGTGCAAATGKGTAGTTACTTGCTTTCCATATCAAACTGTCATTTACAGTAACCTGACCTGTCTTTTTCTTTTCAGCATACAGAAACGCTGCAGAAATAGTGCAGTATGGAGTAAAAAACAACACCACCTTTCTTGAATGTACACCCAAATCTCCTCAGGCTTCTATTAAATGGTTACTACAGAAGGACAATGACAGAAGGAAAGAGGTGAGTAATGAGTGAATGGCAGGAAGGGACCTTAAGAGATCATCTAATCCATTTCCCTGACCAAGGCAAGATAGCTTTTGTGTTTCATCAGACAATTTGGTTACCGTGAAACAGGTTGGAGAAGCTGCATGGACGCAGGGATGGTGGCCAGCGCCAGGGCAGAGTCTTCAGAATCACATCCTGTTCATCAGTCTTACTGATCTCTCTCAGAGCAGGACAGCTATTAGAAAATTCTAGCCTGCCCTTAAAGACAGGGAACTAACTCAAGAATTTTTCCTTCACATTTAATGTTGGCWGCCCTTAGGACATCTTATTGAAGGAATTGGGCATAAAAGCAATAAGCTGTATAAAGTTCAGGGGAAAAAGTCTGCATCCAGTAGCCCCTGAGTGCAATTGAAGAGATAAAAGGCAAAAGTAGGGAAAAAAGTGAAAGGTTTTCTTAGTAAGAAAGTAGCTCAGGCTGAGAGCATGTATTGACAAAAGCATTTCCCCACTGTGATGCAATCACATTTTCCATTACTGCACTCTAAGGCTCTCAAGTTTCAGCACTGCAATATACAGTATGATTGTTTATGGGGAATGGGCCTTCCTTAAGTAATATGAAAGAGGAAAAAATCCATTTCAAAGCCAAGACAGTTACTGTATGAATAAATAGGAACTTTCTTTGTTAAAAAAAGTTAAATAATTAAGTGCCCGTTGATAGATTGTAAATACTGAAAAGCAGTACTCAGACCAGGCTATTTTCCAATATCAGAGAGGTCTTAACAAACCTTCCACTGAGTCCTTCTTTCTTGTTTCTCTTCTGTACTCTGGTAAGACTCAAGTCCCATCCTGGCAATGTAGGTGTAATTACTGAACTCCTTGTTTCTGCTGAATGCTTCCATTATGTTCAATAACTACAATACTAAAATCAATGAAGTTTTTAGTAGCAACAGACAAAATAAAACAATCAAAGGGTTCATTATGTTTCAAGCTAAGCTGAATCCTTCTGAATTCTAAAAAATCTTACCCCAAAATCTAACTCAAAATTTTCACAAGAAGAGAATCAATTTAAAATGAATTTTGAAGAGAATTGCATATAGAAAAGTCCAGTGGCAAAAAAAGAAAAGTCTTTCCCAGAAACACCAGCAGTGATAATCAGTGATAACAGTATAGATGGAGTTCTTTGGAAATTAGCCCTATGAGCCAGTCTGCACCCAAACCATTTACCTAACCACAGAATGGTGGGAGTTGGAAGGGATTTCTGGAGATCATCTACTCATCTTTCTGGAGATCTCTCATCATCTGGAGATCTTCTGAAGATCAAAATCTCTCTTTAAGCAGGGTCAGCTAGAGAAGGTTACATGGGACCATATCAAATCCTGAATGGGTTTTGAATATTTCCAAAGAGGGAGGCTTCAGCCTCTCGGATGTCCTGCTCCAATGTTTAGCCACCCTCAGAGTGAAGAAGTGTTTTCTTAAATTCAGAGGGAATTCCTTGTGCTTGAGTTTGTGCCCACTGCTTCTTTTTCTGTCACTATTCGCCTCGGARTGATGGCTCCATATTCTTTATACCCTGCCATCAAATATCTATAAAAATTGATAAGAGCCTCCTTGAGCCCTCTCTTTGCCAAGCTGAACAGACCCAGCTCTCTCAGTCAGTCATCAAATAAGAAAAGCTTTAGTCCCTTTGCTGGATTTTTCCAGTAGGTCCCTGTGTGTCTTAATTCTGGGGAGCCAACTGGACTCAACACGCCAAATGCATCCTCAACAGAGAAGAGGCAGAGGATCACCTCCCGTGACCTGCTGGCAAAGATTTTGCTCATGTAGCCCAGGTTACCATTGGTGTTCTTGGCCATAAGGGCACAGTGTTGGCTAGTCAAGTTGTTGTCCACTCCAGGTCCTTCTCTGCAGAGCTGTTTTCCAGCTGGCTGGACCCTWGTTTGTATTGGACTTGGGTTTGTTCTTCCCCAGGTGCAGAACTTTACATTTGCTTTGGTTGAACTTGGTGTTCCAGTCAGTACATTTCTCCAGTTCATGGAGATCCCTTTTAGTGGCTGCAGAGCCATCCAGTGCCTCCCAGTTTTGTATCATCTGCAGCTTGGTGGAAGGTACACTTGATCTCATCATGTAGAACATTAATGAATATGTTATCAATACTGGCTACCTTTCACACCCCTGGAGGACAGTACTACTGACAGGCTGGACTTTRTGGGGCTGCTTTGAGCAGAGCAGTTAGGCCAGTTTTCAGTCTGCCTCACTGCCCATTTTTCTAGGCTGTACTTCACTAGCTTATTTGTTTAAAGCAGATCAACTCTCAGCCTTATTCTGTACCTTTCTGCACCAAGTCACAGGCACAGCTTCTGATATTGGAAGGAAAGTTCTCAGAGTTGTAACCCTAGCAAATAAAAGTTAATATTCTCAGCCTCATTACGGGAACATGATGAAAAGTCTTCTTTCATCTAATCTTCAGGTTTGCATGTTTGTCTCGATCCCAGTCAAACTTACTGTAACGTAGCAGACAAAAATACTGAAAACTTACTTAAATTGAGGAAAGCTACCTCCTAACATTAACTGTTATTCAATTATCACTAGCAGACACATGTTAAGGAAAATAGAATACCTATGAAAAGGACTGAAACCCTTTAAGAAGAAAGTATTTGAAAATGGACTTAGCAGGAGATCCAATACTGCCTTCTTCTATAACACTATCTAAAAATTTTCATATGCCTTTTTGCCCTTTAGGTCAAGCTTAATGAAAGGATCATAGCTACTCAGCAAGGACTCCTGATTCGCTCTGTCCAAGACACTGATCGAGGACTCTACCACTGCATTGCAACAGAGAACAGCTTCAAGCAAACCTTAGCCAAGATCAATTTCAAAGTGTTGGATTCGGAGATGGTGGCCTTCATGACTGACAAGTGGTCACCTTGGACCTGGGCCAGTTCAGTACGAGCGCTGCAGTTCCACCCAAAGGACTTTGTGGGAGCATTCAGCCATTCAGAAATGCAGATGATTAATCAGTACTGCAAAGACAGTAGACAGCAAGGTCAGCAAAGGGAACAGTCCCAGAAGATGAGAGGGGACTACAGCAAATTAAAGGCCCTTATTAATAGCAGGAAAAGTAGAAACAGAAGGAATCAGTTACCTGGATCTTAATTTCATTTGGTAGCAGTAGATATCTTTGTCCTCACTGTAGGGGGCTTATATTTGTCTGTTGAAAAAAAATTTGAGCAAACTTGATAAACATTTATATCCAATAAGCCTCACAACAAAATGCAGTGTAACTTAACTAAGGAAAAATATTGGAGCATTTTATTTCCTAGATGCTTCCTGACACTAGGCCAAGTCCTGTCCTAGACACAAACCTGAGTATTTATCTTAAACCAGATTCACATTTGACATTTCAATATTTAATTACTGATGAATAGAAATCTTTTAAAAAAACAATGTATTACTTTGTGACTCTGGAACTGTACCTGAYGGAATTATGGTGAAAGAATCTGGGTTAAGATGCACGCTCAGAGTAGAATGGTACTAAGATTTCCTTGCACTGCACTTAATAATATGAGTTTCTACTTGTTTACGGTTCAATATTGGGTTTACAGCTTTCAATCACTGTTCAAATCATGTGAATTCATGCATATAGGAAGCAAGTAAATTATAGTAGAAATGCTTCATTCAGAGGTCAAATGAAGGAACAGGTAGAAGAACAGAAATAATTGTTTTTTATATTTTATCAGAGGACACACTGATTATTGTGCATAGTATGAGTTGTAATAAATTAATACGTTCTGGAATGTAACTTAAAATATGTCTGCTCATATTGATTTCTATTAATATAGGATGTCCTATAACACTACATAGCTTTTTTAAGTGGCACAAAGCTAACATGACTGTTCTTTGTAGGTACAATTTTAAAAGGCACCTAAGTGACTTAGGTATTGAACTGTTTTTCAGAGTTACACTCCAAGCTTTTCAGATGCAGAATGTGGGTGTACTATACCATTTACTCAAAAACTAAACCCACAGGTTATCCTTAAAATGTTCCATGATTATATTGGAACTGGTCTTCAGTGTGGAGACAAGTCTTGAGCATCTTCTGATGCTGAATCTAAAAAATTTTGAAAAAATATTTTTCAGTTGTTTTCATAGTTGCTCTAAACATTCAAAATATATTTGTTTGTTTTAAATTAAATCCTCCTCAATCATTTTTTCACTCTTTTCCCCTTTTCTTTTTAGTATTTTTTCCATAATTTAACCCTTTTTTTCAGCTTTCTGCTGAGAAGATTAGGAAAAGAAAAAAAAAGCAAGAAAGAGGGGAAAATAAAACTAAAAAAAATAGGTGAAAAACCTCAAAAATAAAAACAAAATTTGAAAGGCAAATTTAAACATGTTTTTGTATATGAAGCAGCTGTCAGCTCTAATGAAGTATGTTTAGTTGAAGAGTGGGTAGATGTGCATCTATCAAGCCATCATGGGAAAAACTGTCACCTTTTTTGATCAGCGCTAATGCTAAAATGTASCAACAAATCTTGGTCATTTCACTATGTGAGATGGTTCTGGAATCCAGTGGATCTGTTCATAGAAGATGCAGAAGAGGGATTAAATATGTATAACTTTAGAAAGATGATGCTTTATTCCCTGATATTTTGTATTGCTATACAAAAATATAAGCTAATTATGTTCAACTGAAGAAAATGTACATTTCTAAGCAAATGAGGGGAAAAAAATTCTGCACCCAGAGAAGAAAAATAATTTTTAAAAAGTTCTTCCAATAACAGATGATACTGTATTTAGAAGTATAGTTTTAAACATTTTTATGAACGTTTGTTGAAACTCTGTGGGCATTATTTTGATTCTGCTTCTTCTAGACTACACTGGAAGTAACTGAAAGAAATAGGAAAACATCTCTAGATTTATGACAGTGTAAATTAAGACTTAGTGCAATGGAGTTAACTCTGGTATTTAACTGATACCAAAGTTGGATATGTCACTTTATCACCATGTAATGCAGAATATCTGGGCAAATGGCCCTGCTCAAACCACTTAAACATTGTCTCTTAAATCCCCTTGACTCTGGTGGGAGCTCTTGGAGTTGACTGAATGTGCTMGCTGTTTGCTTCAAAGGGGATAGCAATACTTACATTTTTACATTGTACCATGTATTTAAGTGCTCTTCTTAATCATAAGGCCTAAATGCATATTTGTATGATACGAAGCCACTGATATCTAAGGTTCTTCCTTATGGAAACCATAGGGAAACTTTGACTTCAGTGAACTTGAATCTGTCTCCAAAAGCTAGCAAAACAGATTCGGGAAGAGAGGGAAAAAAAAAAAAAAAGAGAGAGAGAGAAAAAGAAAAGAAGAAAAGAAGAAAGAAGAAAAGAGGGTGAAATGAAAGTGAGTTGTTTTTTTCCCATCTGACTTTCCATGCAGCAAGCTACTTGATTTTGAGAATCAGTGACTTCTAAAGCATTTTAAGTTACAAAACCAAAAATTTGAATGCCACAAAATGAAACTACCTCCTAGAATGACATTAGTGCATATGCTCTGTATGCTACCATGCTCTTCCTTATTTCCCCAGCAGATTCACTGCAGAGTTAGTGTGATATTAATGTCTATTGTGAGGATCATAATTCTTTCCAGATGATATATAGTGATTAATAAGTACTTAAGGGTACAATTTACTCTTTAAGTGGTTAGGTACAGTGATATTTTAATAGGCCCCCGCTAGGCCTCAGAAATTATAGCTACACTGTTTTCTAATAGAATATTGGCAATAGGGGATTCCGTTAAAACAATCAGCATTGCTCGGAGTTTCATACGATTATAAAATAATATTTTTAAAGCTGCTTCATATACCATTATTATGGTATGACTGTTTAAGGGATTACACTTAAACTAACATTTCTCCTGCTGCATGAAAACTTCAGCATATATATATAAATATATATATAAAATAAACTTCTGTCAATGTTTAACCGGTCCAAGCTCCCATGCTTTCACAGATTTCTCCTGTGTATAGAATAGTCAGGAGCCAGGTTCTTGGCTGATATAAACCCACTGTAACTGCCTTGTTGCCCCTTTAGGTACTAGGGTTTATACCAGCTGAGGGCTTGGCCCTAGTTGTACAGAATAGAGAGACAGTGGTTTYTATTTGTTTAAAATAGCCCCTCTATTGTAGGTAACACCAAAACTTAGGACTGTAATATTGTTTGTGCTATTTAATACTTCCTATTTTGAAAATTACTAAATAATGTATATAATTTTATTTCTTAAAAAAAAAACAAAAGCAAAATGACTTCTAGACACAACTTCACCAAATGTAAAGATATGTTCTCTGCTTTTTTTTTTTTTTTTTTTTTTTGGCCTATTTGTATTAATCTATGTATTTTCATATTGAAAGTTACAATTAATCCCTTCTTAAAATCCAAACTGAAACACAGCATGAAGGTTTTACAGTTTTTTTTTTGGCTATTTTTGTTTTATGTAGTTTGTAAAGTTTGCTGAAACCTTGACTTAATGTTGTGTTCTTTGCAATTACTGTTATTGTAGATATGTGTGTTTTATTAAGAAAATGCTGTTTTAAAAAATGTAGGTATGTGTATAGGTTCCTAGCATGATGAAACTGTAATTACAGTGAATATGCATCATATAGTGTGTAAGAAGAATAAAATGTAGTATAACAAACATAGTGCTATTTAATTAACTATCTAAAATACTTTTTGCCTGACAAAATAAAGTGTGTTGCAACAACTTAAAATTTTGTTCTGTTGTCCTCTTTATAAATGACTGCTGAAAATAAGGAACTTTATATTTTTATCTGAAGAGTAATCCCATATGCTTTCATAAAAAATCCAAGAAAATACCCCATCCTTATCATCCTAGGTGTTATGCCTGATCAGATTTTAGCTTATATTCCAAACCAAACACAGCCACAGAGATTTCTGGAAGAGATGAGAATTCAGAGACAAACCCTTTCAAATGGTCCTGCTTAAAGACCCTGTGTATGAACAAGTCAACATTTTCCCATTGTAAAGCAAATTCAATGAAAAGTGTGTTCAGTGGAGGGGGGGGCAGGGGGAGAGTGCATTCTGTAGAAAGCTGCAAAGAAAAACATTTGTTTTGTTGAGATTTTTCCCAGTGCAAGAGGCTCTACAGAAGAGGSAGAATGAGAGGCTGCATCTTAGGGAGCCATGTGCACTATCCCCTTGCCTGGCTTGTCCTCCAAGGGAAATTGCCTGCCYGACACCTCTGTGCCCTCTTTCTTCCTGCATGTTTTGTCTTAGCAGTATCATTATTGCTCTTCTTGCAGTCTGTTTTTCCAGATGGCTTTTAAAAAGAAAGGGCAGGCCCTGCTCAATTCTTTGGGACAATAATTAGAAATTAAATGTCACAAATACCGACCTTCACAACCAGGTTCTGCATCATTAAATTTGGGTCTTTATTTCCCGAACACATAGACTCCTACAAGGTTTTATGAGGTGTGAGGAAGATAAAATTACCTCACTCCAGGATTTGCATACTGGCTAGTTTTAAGCAGTTGTATTGATAATAGGGAGTTACATCCTCAGTGCTCAAGTGAGCTTGGAGCTGAACCTGAGGTCCCCAGCAGTCCCAGTGCACTGGAGAGGTGTCTGGATAGAGGTGTCTAGAAAAGGCATGGATTAGAAAGCTGGGCATTTATGATTTTAATGCTTTGAGATGAAAATTGTTTCTTAGATATAACACAGAAAACAAGAGAATCATTATGGTTGAAAAAGTCCTTTGAGGTCATATAGTCCAACTGTAAGCCCCTCAACCTGTTAAACCATGTCTGTAAGTGTTTCTTGAACCCTGTCAGGGACGGTGACTCTACCACTTTGCTGGGCAGCCTGTCCTGTGCTTCACCACTCCTTCTGTGTAGAAATTCTTCCTAATGTCTAACCTGAACCTGCCCTGGCACAACTTGAGGCCATTTTCTCTTGACCTATCAGTAGTTACTGGAGAAGAGATCAATCCTCACTACAACCTCCTTTCAGGTAGCTGTAGAGAGCAACAAGGTCTCCCCAGAGCCTCCTCTTCTCCAGACTAAATAACCCCAGCTCSCTCAGATGCTCCTCATAAGGTCTGTGCTCCAGACCCTTCACCAGCTTTGTTGTCCTTCTTTGAGCATGTTCCAGCACCCCAAAACACAATACAGTCTTTGAGGTGCAGCCGAGTGCAGGGGAACAATCACTTCCCTGGTTCTTCTGGCTACATTGTTCTTCATATAAGCCACGACACAATTGGAAGAGGATGCAGATCCGATCCTCTGACTTTAAATCCCTTTCAATCTTTTAGTGATCTATTCTCCTTTTTGCAGGTCCAAGACAGAGTTCATTTGTTTATTGCTTTGCTTCCTTAGCTACAAGCAGCTGCAAAACAATACATGCAACTTCTTCAGGACATCTGATATCAGATCAATCCCCAAAGGTGGTGGTTTTTTTTTTTTTTTTTTTTTTTTTTTCCAGCTGGTGCAATGCATCTGCCCCATGCAGCCTTCTTGACTTCAGCACTGCTGAAGGCACCACCCTTACATGGAGCCTAGAGAGAACTGTATAAGCTGCTGGCACAAGAAGGACTCTCTGACAGCAGAGTCGTTCAAAGTGTTGCAGTATAATTATTGCCTATGGAATTAATTGTTGCCTATGGAATTAAGTCACCATCTGTAATTCTGTGAGGCAGGCCATAAAGGCAGGTTGATGCACCATGTCTTCTGTCTAAAGCTAGACTAGGTCTCAAGAGAGCTTTATTTCTTTACTCTTTGTGTCACTGCTGGCTTGCTAAGCCCTTCTCCTGTATCCCAAAGTGATCTGGGGAGCTGTGACTTCATGTGATGTGAGCTCAAAGAAAATTATGCACAGACACCAACCAGTGGGTGCCATGTAGATATGTGTGTATATATAGAAGGATATGCACACAGAGGAGCATTCCTTTTCATGCAGTATTTGTTAATATATTTAGATCCTTTAACATTAATGTAAGTCTTGTTTCTGTTTTAACTCAAACAGGATATAGCTTCAGGATCCAAAGATATCAGCATCTCTGTGTGCATAACAGTGTCTCTGAGAGTATTTTAAAAGATAAATGAGTTGTTCTGCAAAAAATAGTTCCT